TTTTGTTAGTGGAGATTTGGAGGTGGCTGCGATGCTGCCCAGCTCGCAGAAGCTGCAGCAGTGGTTTGTGCACCTGGGATCAGGGCTCCTCACCTCCACGTGCCAGGAAGGGGAAGGAAACCCCCCCGGGGAACAGCGCTCCCTCCCCGAGAGGGTGGGCAGGTGGGGAGGGGACGTGCTGAGGCGGTGGAGGTCTCACAAGCCCAAAGCCAGGCCAGGAGGGCCCTGGGCACCCCCTCCCATGGGATTCAGCTGGGGCCGTTTTGCATCACCATGTACCAAACCCAGCATCACGTACAGGATCTCCCAGAAACGCAGCGAGGAGCAGGAACGCAAGGAAGCCCTGAGCCCTCGAGAAGGATTTCTGTGCTGGTTTCTCCCATCCATCCTCCCAGAGGTCCGTTGACCCTGTTGTTTGACTAAAGACCCAAACTCCAGCCTGTTCACACGTACAATAGCTCTCATCCCTTCCTTCTGCCAGTTCAAACCCCCCTTCCTTTTACAGTCCCTCAGGACACTATTTCTGGTCCGTTCCCACATTCACAGCACAGCTGAATTCCAGTAGCAATTACTGCTCTGCAAGCCGAGGCTTGGGAAAACACTGCCAGACCCAGCGTCAGGCGGCTGGGCTCCCTTCCATCGCCACAGAAAGCGGGAACCGAAGTGCAGGGGCTACACTGATGAACTGAACGCCCACCAGGAACAGGAGAACTCACACTACAGAAACTTGCAAACAATTTCCAACACTGACCAAGATTTTATTTTTGTTTTTTTAAAATTTTTTTTATTTTTTTAACAATAAAAACAAAACAGCTGTGCTCTGAGCAAAACCAAAGATCTCAAAAAATTCTTTGAAGTTTACTAATAGCATTGCAAGGTAAGGCTTCCCAAAGAGTTTTACTGAAATAAATTATTTTCACCTAAACATCAATGCAATTCCTTTCATTAAATTCACCCTCAAATGTCCTAAAAACCAACAGTAAAAAAAGTTACCAACAATTCTAGATAATACTGGGCTCCTTCTAATGGACAGTGAAACTAGAACTCACTCTTCAGAGGTTTAAAAATTAAGTCACTGCCACATAAAATTCAACTATGCAAGCGAGCATGGGCAGCTCCGCGTGGATCTTGTGTCAAAAGTTCTTAAGAAAAACCAGAGGTCAGTGGGTTGGGCTACAGCAAGCCGAAGGTCCGGCTGCCCCAGCTCCTCCAGTCCTGAATAAACTCACGGCGCAGTTGTGGGGTTAACAATGAAACAGAAGGCAAGCTACGGGAGCTATCTCCATGAAGTCCCATCCACGTTGCTCTGGAGGCCAGACCAGGCAGGTTTTTCTATCGTTCTCCCTCGGCTGATGGTGACACTGAGTGGCAGGGGCTGTAACCTCGCCTCACACCCCCTTGGCTTTGCTCGGTCCCCCTCAGTGTCCCCCTTAGTTCTGGCCATACAAGGCAAAGGACACCAGTGCAGCCCTGGGGAGCGAACAGAGCCCGATGGCTGCCCGTGCAGCAGAGCCCAGCAACGGCAAACAAACTGTGGTATGCTGGGACCGATGGGAATCGGCGCTTCACTGCACAATTCACGACAGCGGTATTTTCTGCGTTAAGCAGCCAGACAGCTTCCACCCAGCCTCAGAACTGAGTTCCCAGCGATGCGACCCCAGCCCTCCCACAGAACACCCCACGCCGTCAACACGAGCGGGCGCCCGCTCATCTAACGCAGGGTTTGCTGCAAATTTCTAAGCTTTCTTCCCTCTTGGAGTAACTCTCCCTGATCTCAGGCTGCGGGTGCCCTCCAGGACCTGCACGCGCAGCTGCGAATCCCAAACACGCCCTCCCCAGCCTCGGCTGTGCACTCACCCTAATACCTCGCGCTAGCTGCAGAAATCATGCCCGTGGTTTAGAAATTGCCTTTTGTTTGTGGAAGGGATTAACATCACATAGAAAATATTACAAAAAAGGTTAATTTGTCAGCTGTCCAAACATTACTAGACCATATGCTTTATACAGCAGAGAGGCAGGCCGCTCGCCCCG